AAAAACAAATGCTAAAAAAAATAATAAGTAATAATAAAAATGGCAAAAACACAAAACTAAATTAATAAAAAAGTAACTAAAATTAAAATGCAAAATATAAAAATAAAACCTAATTGAAAATATATAATAGTATCTCAATGACACTAAAATAACACTGTAAACAACTAGCTTTTATCCAAAGAGACACTGCATTCATGTTATGTTATATATTATCAATTCAAGCATTTCCTGGAATCAAACCCATAACCTTGACATTGCTGCCTGAAAAATATCTGTTTTCAAACACATCAAATGTCTGTTTGAATGCACATCATCAAATAGTTCATATAATATTTAATTTGAGATTGACAATCAACATTTTCTGAATCTCAAGTGCCTCTTTCACTGACTGTTTAAAAGTCAAAAATATTCAGCAGCACAACTGTTTTCAACACTGATAATAATCAGAAATGTTTCTTGAGCAGCAAATCAGCATATTAGAATGATTTCTGAAGATCATGTGACACTTAAGACTGGAGTAATAATGCTGAAATTTCAGCTTTGATCACAGCAATAAATTACGTTTTACAATATATTCACACAGAAAACAGATATTTTACATTACAATAATATTTCACATTTTTACTGCATTTTTGATCAAATAAATTCAGCCTTGCTGAGCATAAGAAACTTCTTTCAGAAACATTGGTATGCATCTGTTACATAATGAAAGACATTCACTTGCTCTGAAGGAGAAAACAACCGTTTACTCACTCTGACTAATGTTCAGTGACTCAAATGTTCAGTACTCAGAACTTGATCGGGTTACGCGCTGTTTAAACAGCCCTGAGGATGATGAAGGGATGAAGATGTCTTACCTTTGCCATCTGCGCCTGCACACCGGTGGCCTTCAGAGACGAAACAGCCTTCAGTGCTGCTGCCGGACAGTCAAAGTCCACGAAACCATAACCTACAGACACAGCAGAACACTAATGTGATATCACATGAATAGGATTATCAAGTCCAGTCCACTTATTTGATCAAGAACCGGCCCCTTAGACAGGAAAAAACCATGTGACTGACATGTACAGCGACCAATCACTTCTAAGGTTAGATGTTCAATGAATTCATTGGGTTGTTTCATATAATAAGCATTGCAACATAACACTAGCTAAAAATGCATACCAGTATTATTAGCGATGTGTCTTCAACAACAACTGCAATACAATTAGACAATACCAAAACCTGTCCTTTTCTTCTGAAGAAAAAATAAAATATTTGATAACTTCTTAACATTTTTTTTCAAGAATTGCACTTAGGAACATTCTTGGAATTTACTTTCAGAAATTTCTTAATTTCTTTCTTAAGGCAAGACATCCCAAGTGAATATAAAAATAACTAATAGATTTCACCATACTTCTCCTAGTTGATTGATTACATTAAAAAGTGCAAACATCTTTTGAATAGCCTAATTTAATATGCAAATATATGCATGCATTTTGAGAACATAAACCAGAACACTGGTTCAAAATTCTTGTATGGTTTTGTTGTCATATTTGAGTTAAAGTTTTTCATAGAGGAGATTTTGGATTTCTCTTTTTATCACTCCATAAGTCAGAAAATACTGTCAACTGACAGAAAACAAATACATTTTCTCCACGTTTTTAGGAATAAAATGTTGTATAAAACAGTGTGAATGAAAACAAACCCCTCATTTGAAAGCTTCAGAATACAGAATAAAATTGTAAATTTTGATGTAAGTGTAGCTGAAGTGGAGAAACAAACTCATTTTGAGAAAACAGCCTTTAAAGATAATGTAATTGAAATCTACAGACACAATTAGATAAAGTGCAAAAATAAAATCATGCAAATGATTTATGAACAAACCCCTCAGTAAAAACATTCAGAATATTGATAAGAATAAAACTGTAAATTTTGGTGCTTGTAAGTACTGCTGAAGTGGAGAAAAAACTTCTTAAAGAAATGTACTGTAATTGAAATCTACAGACGCAATCAGATAAAGTGCAAAAATAAAATCATGCAAATGATTTATGAACAAACCCCTCAGTAAAAACCTTCAGAATATTGATAAGAATAAAACTGTAAATTTTGGTGTTTGTAAGTACTGCTGCAGTGGAGAAAAAACTTCTTAAAGTAATGTACTGTAATTGAAATCTACAGACGCAATTAGATAAAGTGCAAAAATAAAATCATGCAAATGATTTATGAACAAACCCCTCAGTAAAAACCTTCAGAATATTGATAAGAATAAAACTGTAAATGTTGGTGTTTGTAAGTACTGCTGAAGTGGAGAAAAAACTTCTTAAAGAAATGTACTGTATTTAAAATCTACAGATGCAAATAAACATAAACACTTAAATGTGTATTTTGGATGTTTTCTTTCCACTAGTCTGAAACAGCATGCCATGAAAAGCCAAATAAGACTAAACCTAAAAAACTGACCAGCGCATGAAAAATAATGGTTTTGCTTGTAGTGTCTTGCCTTAAGAAGATTTTGGTGAATCCGGCTCCAGAGCCTTGAGCGGATCATGTCTAAATGCAGCCAAACTTTGTCACCCACATTCAGGAAAACCAAGGCCCATCAGAATCTATTCAACTGCACTTTTTGAAGATAGAAAATGTAAATTAAACTAACTAAAAGTGTTTTTCATTATCAGATCACCTTTAACCAAACAGTGTTCGAAAAACACCTGAAGACCCTCAGGAATCATCTTGCATTAAACCCTTCATCTCCATGGCAACAACCCTTCGACTTCACTTTCCTCGTCTGCATTCCCCATTTTTCCTGACCTCATCCATCAGCACGCGAGCCGAGAGGAAACCCACAAACCTGATTTATGAGTTATGACATATTTATGAGCGATCGCTCTTTCCCACAATCCCTCACTCGTCCTTTATTTTCCGTCACACCTTCATTCGCGGGGCTGTATCAGCAGATAAGGGTCACACTGGTGTTAATTAAAATTTCATGGCAGATTAAATGAGTACTCACACACACACACACACACACACACACACACACACATGCACTCTTT